CATCAATGTACTTCAATAAAACGTATCATACTGGATTAGGATATCAAGCGCATTAGAAATAATGATTGGCACATGTACGTTGTTATTGCACTCGTCTGAAAATAAAGATCAGATCAATTACCCGAATGCGAGTAGGTAGTTACCAGTTTCACCACCAGGTGGCTGATTCGGGTCAATTTACATGGCAGGTATATAAGAAAGTTCCCTTAAACTTGAATATTATCAATTTAAGTGGCTCGATTTTCATATAACCCTTATGTGTCTGATACTTATACTAATGAAAATATGTCCAGTAAAGCAAAATATAATCTGTCCACTAAAAAAAAGGTATTTCATTTTTTGTGATTTTATAGCATGGGGTCTATGGGGAATCTCCCCGAGCTAGAAGTCACATTTTCAAAGAAAATTATTTTTTCAAAATTGATAAACACTTTTTAAAACCACATTTCTAGATGTAATTTTACATGTAGATTTCAAATATGATATTACTTTGACTAAATTTTGAATTTTTAATGACGTAAATCAAGATTATTTCTACTCGCATCTGGGTTATTACATTAAGTGGTTCAAAAATATACTATCACACTATTGTACAAAACACGAGTCTTATATATTATTGGCTATCTCAGGATTGTTTTTCGGGTAAGATTTTGGGTGAGATTTACACTTATGCATACCCCCCCCCCAACTAACATCGACTATCAATATGGACTGTGACATTTTGACTTCCCCTAATTACCCCCCCCCCCCTAATCACACTGGCTGCTATGCTGTATGTGATTAGTCCCTCCCCCTCACATTCACACCTTTCCCAGATACGAGCTACATATGGCTACACAATTGGTGTGTTAATATAGGTGACCAGGCTGACCCCTCCCCACTGGCTACATTAGGCTGCAACCCTAGAGTAACTAGTAAGGTGTCCCATACCACCCTTGGTCCGAGGCTACAATAGGCTGCAACCCTATAATTACTAGTTACAGGTGTCCCATACCACCCTTGGTCCGAGGCTAAATTAGGTTGCAACCCTATAGTAACTAGTTAGGTGTCCCATACCACCCTTGGTCGGAGGTTACATTAGGCTGCAACCCTATATTAACTAGTGAGGTGTCCCATACCACCCTTGGTCGGAGGCTACATTAGGCTGCAACCCTGTATTAACTAGTGAGCTGTATCATACCACCCTATAGCTGGGGCTACATTAGGCTGCAACCCTATATTAACTAGTGAGGTGTCCAATACCACCCTATACCCGAGGCTACAGTAGGTTGCAACCCTAAAGTAACTGGTTAGGTGATCTTTTTTTGCTTTTATTATGTTGTTTTACTATGTTGGTGAGATTAACGCTTATGCGTACCCCCCCCCCCCCCCTCCCCGGCTAACATTCTTGACTATTAATATGGACTGTGACATTTTGACTTCCCCTAATCAACCCCCCCCCCCAATCACACTGGCTGTTATGCTGTATGTGATTAGTCCCTCCCCATCACATTCACACCTTTCCCAGATACGAGCTACATATGGCTACACAATTGGTGTGTTAATATAAGTGACCAGGCTGACCCCTCCCCACTGGCTACATTAGGCTGCAACCCTAGAGTAACTAGTAAGGTGTCCCATACCACCCTTGGTCCGAGGCTACATTAGGCTACAACCCTACATTTACTAGTGAGGTGTCCCATACCACCCTTGGTCCGAGGCTACAATAGGCTGCAACCCTATAGTTACTAGTTACAGGTGTCCCATACCACCCTTGGTTCGAGGCTAAATTAGGTTGCAACCCTATAGTAACTAGTTAGGTGTCCCATACCACCCTTGGTCGGAGGTTACATTAGGCTACAACCCTATAGTAACTAGTTAGGTGTCCCATACCACCCTTGGTCGGAGGCTACAGTAGGCTGCAACCCTATATTAACTAGTGAGGTGTCCCATACCACCCTACACCCGGGGTTACATTAGGCTGCAACCCTGTATTAACTAGTGAGCTGTCTCATACCACCCTATAGTTGGGGCTACATTAGGCTGCAACCCTATATTAACTAGTGAGGTGTCCCATACCACCCTATACCCGAGGCTACAGTAGGTTGCAACCCTAAAGTAACTGGTTAGGTGTCCCATACCACCCTTGGTCAGAGGCTACATTAGGCTGCAACCCTATAGTAACTAGTAAGGTGTCCCATACCACCCTTGGTCCGAGGCTACATTAGGCTGCAACCCTATATTAACTAGTGAGGTGTCCCATACCACCCTATGGTAATTATGAAGTAGTTATTAAATTGGTCAAGAAATTTTAATGCATTTCGTTAACTGATTCACTTGTTATTTAGAGTCAAACTTTTGATGTAATTTCCATGTAACTTTGAGTTTTAATCATATCTACCAAAATCTACCTCTAATTACGGTAATTATGTTTAATTGTTAGTGGTACTTATAACAAGTATTTGTACCAGGGTCCCGTTTGGAGCGAATCTGGGGTTGATTCAAGCCATCCCAATGTACGGTAATGTGAGCTAAAAATGGCTGCAAGGTAAGGCTTGCCTCGAATAGCCAAGCTGTAGTAGCAGCCATTTATAGCCACGTAGTTGAGTAGTATTTGGGTGTATTTTACACTATATTTAAATTAGATCTTTTTTTTGCTTTTATTATGTTGTTTTACTATGTTGGTGAGATTAACGCTTATGCGTACCCCCCCCCCCCCACCCCGGCTAACATTCTTGACTATTAATATGGACTGTGACATTTTGACTTCCCCTAATCAACCCCCCCCCCAATCACACTGGCTGTTATGCTGTATGTGACAAGTCCCTCACCCCCCTCACATTCCCACTTTCCCAGTAACGAGCTACAATTGGGTACACAATTGGTGTGTGAGTATAGGTGACCAGGCTGACTCCTCCCCACTGGCTACATTAGGCTGCAACCCTATAGTAACTAGTTAAGTGTCCGAAACAACTCTTGGTCCGAGGTTTCATTATGCTGCAACCCTATAGTAACTGGTTAGGTGTCCCATACCACCCTTGGTCCGAGGCTACATTAGGATGCAACCCTATAGTAACTAGTTAGGTGTCCCAAACCACCCTTGGTTTGAGGCTACATTAGGCTGCAACCGTAGAGTAACTAGTTAGGTGTCCCATACCACCCTTGGTCCGAGGCTACATTAGGCTGCAACCCTATAGCAACTAGTTAGGTGTCCCATACAACCCTTGGCAAGACTGCATTAGGAGGCAACCCTATAGTAACTAGTTAGGTGTCCCATAACACTCTTGGTCCGAGGCTACATTAGGCTGCAACCCTATATTAGCTAGTGATGTGTCCCATACCATCCGATACCCGGGGTTACATTAGGCTGCAACCCTATAGTAACTTTTTAGGTGTCCCATACCACCCTTGGCAAAGCTGCATTAGGAGGCAACCCTATAGTAACTAGTTAGGTGTCCCATAACACCCTTGGTCCGAGGCTACATTAGGCTGCAACCCTATATTAGCTAGTGATTTGTCCCATACCACCCTATACCCGGGGCTACATTAGGCTACAACCTTATATTAGCTAGTGAGGTGTCCCAAACCACCCTATACCAGGGGCTACATTAGGCTGCAATCCTATTTAACTAGTGAGATGTCCCATACCACCCTATACCCGGGGCTACATTAGGCTGCAACCCTATATTAACTAGTGAGGTGTCCCATGCCACCCTATACCCGGGGCTACATTAGGCTACAACCTTATATTAGCTAGCGAGGTGTCCCAAACCACCCTATACCAGGGGCTACATTAGGCTGCAATCCTATTTAACTAGCGAGGTGTCCAATACCACCCTATACCCGGGGCTACATTAGGCTGCAACCCTATATTAACTAGTGAGGTGTCCAATACCACCCTATACCCGGGGCTACATTAGGCTGCAACCCTATATTAACTAGTGAGGTGTCCAATACCACCCTATACCCGGGGCTACATTAGGCTGCAACCCTATATTAACCAGTATGTGTCCCATACCACCCTATACCCGGGGCTACATTAGGCTTCAACCCTATATTAACTAGCGAGGTGTCCCATATCACCCTATACCCAGGGCTACATTGGGCTACACCCCTCTGGTATCAAGTGAAGTGACCAATACCATTTCTCATCCTTGGCAACGAGTGGTTATACCCAAGATGTGTGTAGCAAGGTGATCCTATTGACTTATTATTACCGACTACATGTGACTTTACCCTCACATATCAATACAGACTTATAAACCCTCATACAATTGTTTTATTATTCAATTATAACGATGGAAGCGATATTTCTTTGAAACAAGATAACAGTCTGGGACTGTGTTATGCCAAGGCCACGCTACAATTGTATGGCAGATGCATGGCCCACGATTGTTACACATGTTTATGTATGACTCAAAACCCATTATTATGTCAAGAATAAATTACTATGGCTTTTATATATGAGCCTGGCCATAAAAAACCGGTCTATCACAAAAATTAGAATTGTGCTACAGAGCCAAAAATGTGCCTACGATTTAGAGGAAAATGTGCTAAATTCAAATCCGACTTAAGCCATGGCTCATTTGAAAGGTCTCTTTGTGCTTTCTAAGATAAACAAAAAATCAGAATATTGAAAAAATCTGTGATTAGACCACTTTTCCTGTGGCCTGGCTCATATATGTATATATAATATATTAAATGCTATCTTCTGTGCACTAAGTATTCCTCAAGATCAGTGATGGTGTTTAGCCTGCACTTATTTCTCACAAAAATACCTCTCCTATGTGCCTCGCTACCAATTTGAGAGATGAAAGGAGGGGAATTTTACAGAAGCAACATGATATAATGTTTTCGATCCAATCTTAGATCGATTTGATTAGAATATGATAACGACGTCACTGGATATATCTCATATAATATATTAATCAACGAGGCGATGTTAGTTGAGATCTACTCTTTAATACCGGAAACAACCAACTGGAAATTTAACTAGACCCCCTGCATTTTTTTTATTTTAGGAATGGTTCGATGACCGGCTTCGTTGGAACAAGACAACGTACGGAGGTTTAGAAATCATGCATTTACCAGGTGACATGTTGTGGATGCCTGAACTTGAACTTATGAATGGGTAAATATATTTTTTATGTATTCTCTATTTTGAGGGACATTGTTATGGCTTCGTAGCAGTTCGTTCGGTGCGTTTGAATACACGAATGCACTGAACGGAATGTTCGAGAGGTACGAAATTTGAAATTGTTGCAGGTCTAGCTCGAACAACAATTGCTCACAACCCCGTGCTGTCGATTTGGTTAGATTGATCGTTTTACCGGTTGGCCAATTCTATTTTTGTGGATTTGTAGTTTGATACACATTGCCATCCCATTCATAGCCATTTCGATGACCTAACAACTGCTTAGTGGTAAATACTTTTTTAAATGGTCAAATGTTTTGATCACTTGAAAACAACTTGTAAATTGTTGAATTTTCACAGAAGTCTTTCTTTTATTCAGGTTTGGTTATACCCATATTGACATCTCCAAACAGATGGTCCGTGTGTTCTACAATGGCACCGTCTCCATCAGGCGCGTAATGCACCTGGACACGGAATGTACCCTTGACGTCACCTTCTATCCGTATGACTACCAAACTTGCGACATCACAATCGGCAGTTGGAACTGGGACATAAACGAGCTGGTATTCTTAAATGACGGAATGTCCGTTGATGATTATAAGATGAGTATGCTGTGGAATCTGGTAGGCACTTGGAACAAATCAACGATCCTTTCGATGAATGAAACGGAAAGTGACGATGTCAGTTGTGTCGTGTTTACGTTGTATTTGAATCGCGAGGATGCGTTCTATAACGTTTATTTGATATGGCCGACTGTTGTGCTCGCTCTTTTGACTTGTCTCGCCTTCTTTCTACCAGGAGACGCTGGTGAAACTATAGGACTAGCAGTATCTTTGTTGTTAACGTTCACAGTGTACTTGTTGTTCACTGCAGATAAAATGCCCGAGAATTCACGCAGCATGCCCTTATTGGGTATCATCCTCATGATTCTGCTCATGTTCTCAGCGGCATCTATATTATTTAATGTTATACTACTCGTGTGGCATCATCTTGGTGAAAGTAAAGATTTGAGCTGGTGTCTCAAGAAAAGTGTTTTCTGTTGTATCGGGAGTTTCACCTGTAAATATCTCCTCGATAGAGAGCCGAGGGGTGGAACCCGCAAGGAATATCATCGAGGAATATCCGGTAAAATCCAGTCTGCTCCAGGACCAGTCACGACAAACCTGACCTATGACACAAACACCGTAAACAGGCCAGAAAATGAAATAACTGGGAACATGGCGTATATGAACCAAACGAGGTTAGCTCCATCCGATCAAGTCTATCCATCTTTACCCGTTCCTCACGGTGGGCATACTGTGATGACGCGAACGCCAGTACCAGGGATAATGGACATCAACATCGATACGTTTGAGAATCCGCCCAATAAATATAAACACACTTATGTTAACGCTGCCAAAATTCTCACTCGGTTTATCGGCTCTCTATACCTTATAATAATATTAGGTGGTGTCATTTTCTCCTTTCTTGTGATTGCCAATCTACCGTCAACCTGTTGGAAAAACAAGATGGAGTGCACTCCTGCGCCCGACAATGCCCAATAGTGATGGGTCTCGCTTGCCATGTACAGCTGTTGAATTAAAAACATACCTGCATTCAACAGACCAGATCACACATGAGCAGATTTAATTGAGGCTTGTGATATCAAGCGATTTGAATTCTTTAAGTATCATTTGCAGGATATGCATTCCACGAACGATATCGGCATTTCCAAAGAAAGAGAGAGAGCGGAGTTCCTAATCAAGGGATTTGATACTGGTATACCCTCTGTTGGCCAAGAACGGAGTTTGGCAAACCAGATAAATAAATTGTAACTCAAGGATGGCTTTTATAAAAAAACTCCTACCTCATACCCACCTACCCACCTACGTGGAACATGATACAGTCATTGAAGGGTTCAATTTTAAAGATTATTGAATCTCAAAATAACTCAAATTATTAACATTTCTACAAATCCGGCTTTATTTTATGACTAGACAGATGACAGATCCATATATAAAGGCATATGGTTGCATTTTAATGTGTAATGACCCGGGGGCGCCCCTGTGGAATAAATAACTAACGACCGCGAGCATAGGTCCAACTTATCCCGTTCCCGGACTATAGTCCTGCACTGAGCGCATTCATTTGCCTGTACGATTACAACTTGGGAGAATTATCTACGCCCCTTACACTTAAGATACCTACCTCCATGCATTATAGAACTCAAGATGTAACTTCTAATATATTGGAACCGCCGATTGTCTGGGTATATCGGCAGAACGGGAACATTTTCTCTTTTTCATCGAGAGAGATTCCATCACTTTTCAAAATGGCGGTTGGATTTAAAAGGGGATTCCCCCGTTTGGCTGTCCCGGATGTAGCCCGGAAGTACCAATATGGAGGAATTTGACGGTTGAAATAAGTTAAATGTTACACGCAAATATTGCGATCAAAAACGAAAATGTCTTCGTTCTGCCGATAAACCCAGACAATTGTGGATTCAACTACACGAAAAGAATGCTAAATTACCAAGGAATCTATTGAAGTAGGTATCTGAAGTGTAAGATGAGTAAAAAATTCTCCCATGTTGTAATCGCACAGGCAAAAGATTGAGATGTTCACAGGACCATAGTCCGGGAACGGGATAAGGTCCAACAAGCCAGATAAAGAAATTGAATGAAAGAAAATATCCCGGTTGGGAATCGAACCCAGCTGGGATGTAGTAGCAACTTGCTATCAAGGGTTGTTACAAATGCATCTATAATTCATCATAAACTAAGCTTTGATAAACTAAGATTTTTAAAATTGAACCCTTCAAAGACTGTATCATGTTACACGTACGTGGGTAGGTGGGTAGGAGGTAGGAGGTTTTTTATACAAAGACCTCAAGGATACTACATTGCCAAATGGATGGTCCTAAAAGAATTCCATTGTGTTAGTCATGATCAATATAGTTGTTACCTGTAAATATGTTTGATATGTTGAAGTTCAGCTTAATAAACATTGTTTCAATTTTAAAATATTTTTGGCATTTATCATTCCATGTTATGTCTATTTTTCTAAAAATCCCATCCCAGGTTTAAACTTTTGTTGAAGAAACTAATTTTTTACAATAATGTACTTTGGGTGATCATGGATTTACGTTACTCTCATTTTCGCACTTTGGAACCTCGCCAATTTCATAACGTATCCCGGAGATATTATATTTAAGATTCAGAGGAATATATCGGAAGGTCAGTTCTGAATCTGCCCATGAATTATATTATAAGTTATTGAATGATTTGAAGAGCAATACAGGATATATTCTGCTCGAGAAATCTTGTATTGGAACGAGACGAAGTCGAGTGCCAATACAGAATATCGAGACAGAATATATCTGTATTGCACTTCAAATCATGCAATAATGTTTTTATCGTGTGATCCTCTGTATTGCTACTGAGATTGTCCCCTCCGTAGTCCGTACCAATATTTTCTGTATTGCGACGGAGATGATCAACGGGGACAATTTCCGTCGCAATACAGATTGGTACAGCACAAGAACTGACCAATCAGAGATTCCATTTACAAGTCTCACCATTGCGGCCGGGGAGGTTACAACATGCACAAGGGCTCGTAGCTAGACTGAGTAACATAATCACTATACCTTGCACCTAGAAATGCATAAGATACTTTGTCTATCTAATTGCATTGTTTAGTATATTTTTGAAAGGGCCTTCGTAACATTTAACATTTAACTGATAAACCATTAATAAGGAACAGACAAATAAAAACAAATACATAATCATTACTAATAACCCAAATGGGTTGCTCATGAACACCAAATGCAAGGTATAGAAGAGTGATAATGTCAAGCCTTCTTTGCAACTTCACGGCTCCACCCTCCCTGAATTTAAGCACGATCCTTGGAAAAATAAATTGCTTCTCTATGAAAACAACTCTTGTATAAATTAAACAAAATTACCCTCTGTAAAACATTGCAATCATGAAGAATTTGAAAATCTTATGATTGATAAAGAACCATAAGCCACGTGACAGGAGGTATGCAGGCCCGTAGCCATTTTTACTTGGGGTTGAGATGACCTGTCACCTTTTTTACCAGGGGGGGGGGGGGCGGTCTTACCAAGGGGGAGCTTTTGCCAAGGGGGGGGGAGACTTTTGTCAAAGATCATGCAAAAGTGCTTAGAATGGTGAAAAACTGCATGATTTTGAAAGTATTTATGGCCAGGGAGAGGAGAATCTCCTCGCTCCCCTGGCTATGGGCCTGGAAAGCCTGATAAAATGTAGAGCGGTTATTAAAGTTTCCTAGACTATCAACCCCAACCCCTCGCTCCCTTATCTACTTCACAAAGGTGTGTCGTGGTGGGGGAGGGGGGGGGCGGTTGATGGCCCCAATGGCTTGGGGCTAGACTAGACGTTTACAAAATGCTGATCGAATTATGATGCGACAAACAAAATATAATGATGACGAACAAGTTTATCATTACCTACCTTGGCATGACAAGTCAATGTTTTTAATTTATTCTCAAGGGCAATTACGAGGAAATCCTGAGATTAAATGCCCATTGACATTTTTAGGGGCACTGGATTTTATTGTGGCAAAAAAAGAATAGTCTTGTTCCCTTTTAGTCTCTTATAGTATCCTTAGAAGAGTTTGGATGTGGATATATTTTTTAAATGCCATTGGGCAATTAGGAGAAAATGATTGCAATTAAATGCACATACGGGCACTTTGAATGAGAATGAATTTTCTCATTTCAATCGTCTCTTGCCAGTTTTCTTAACATGATTGTCATATTCTAAAGCGTTACTTTGGGGCACCCAGAATTATTTTTAGGGCCCTACATAATTTTTGGGCCCAAAATTTTTTTTTTATTCCTTTTTTATTCATAGAAAAAACATTTGCCAAAAATTTTGAAGGGCCTCAAAAGGAAGGGCATTTCTTAGGTCAAATCACCAAAAATGGAACATTTTCACAGCAAAAAATGTGAATCAAACCACTGAATCCTGGAGTCAGGATTCATACAGGATTCATATGCACATATGAATCCTGTATGAATCCTGCCTCCAGGATTCATACAGGATTCGCTGTTTAAATAGTTTACAAATGAATCCTGCCTTCAGGAATCATACAGGATTCATATGCAATATAGTTTACAAATGAATCCAGCCTTCAGGATTCGTACAGGATTCATATAGAAGGTAGTTTGCAAATGAATCCTGCCTTCAGGAATCATACAGGATTCATATGCAATATAGTTTACAAATGAATCCAGCCTTCGGGATTCGTACAGGATTCATATAGAAGGTAGTTTGCAAATGAATCCTGCCTTCAGGAATCATACAGGATTCATATGCAATATAGTTTACAAATGAATCCAGCCTTCAGGATTCGTACAGGATTCATATAGAAGGTAGTTTGCAAA